CCTGGTGGAGTGGGTGGGGGTGGGTTGGGGGGTCTGTAGGGGGCATGGGAGGATGGGAGGGCCAGGGAATAGGGGGATTGATGTGTAAAATAAGATTGTTTCGCCCAGACCAGGCTGGTGAAACACACAGAAACAGCTGGCCTGAACAATGGGGATCTCTCGGTCCTCAGACTGATAGCTGGGATACCAGCATGGGACTGATCCAGACACCATGAATATGGGTTTCAGTGAGGAAATCAATGGGACCTCCTGTAGTAGTTCAGTACTTATCCCTAGCATAGGTGCGGACTTTGGGAGCCCATTCCACATGGAGGGATACTCCCTGAGCCAAGACACACAGGGGCTGGGATTAACATGTAAAACAATCTTGTTTCTAATTCAAATAAAAAATCAGAAAAAATAAAATAAAGATTGTTTCTAAAATTTAAAAAAATTACACAGCAAAAAAATACAACACAAATAAATAGTAACCAAATGAATACCAAGAATTATCAACTTTGAAGTCTCTTGACATAGCCATCTTCTAGCTTTTGCTGACCTGGAGTTTCCAAGTGCTCAGGGACACCACACCTGAACCTTGCAACAGGCACCCACAGAGTTAGCAGTGCAGAGCGGAAGGAACGCAGTAATGGCAATGGCTTGGGAATTCTCCAGAGTTGAGAGGCTGATAGCAGGGTGGAGGACAGAAGGTGAGAAACTGAGGGGGAGACCAGGCTATAAGAGAAGGTGTAGGCCAGGCTGAGAAGCCTAGTAAGGAGCACACATCTGCACCATAGAGTTCTGTTCTCCATCTCCCCTGTCCCAGGAGGCAGCACAGAAAGAGAGGCAGCCCGCGGGCTTTACTTAGCACTGGGCCGAGCACTGTCATTCACATCTCACCCAGCTTGTGGGATAAGTATAATTTTCTATTAATCAGTTTGCAATCATCTTCGAGTTTTTCTTTGCCCACACTTCCATGTAGAACTAACGTTCCCCTCTGACGTGCTCTTACTACACTTCTTTTTTTTTTTTGAGGTAGGGTCTCTCTGTATAGCTCTGGCTGACCTGGAACTCGCTCTGTAGACCAGGTTGGCCTTGAATTTAGGGAGATTTGCCTCCTGATTGCTGTGATTAAAGGCATATGCCACCACCTCTCAGTGCTCTTACTACACTTTATCATTGTTTTTTTTTTTTTTTTTTTTTTTTTTTTTTTTTTTTTTTTTTGCTAGACTGTGCCTGAAGCACATAGATGCTGGCAGTGGTGAACGGGGCAGTGACAGTGACTAAGAAACTAACTTCTTCCTGAGGTGTGTGTGTGTGGTGTGGGGTGTGTGTGTGTGTGTGTGTGTGTGTGTGTGTGTGTGTTGGATGAGGAGAGCAAAGCATACAGAGAACATGCACCCTGCAAACTCAACCTATAATTAACTGGAAAACAACTTACCTCTGTAAATTTAATCCTGAGGGTTTATTTTAAAATATATGACACACATACTACTGAGAAATTCTGCTTCTTTTTCATGAAATTATTTTTGGTGATTCTTTTCATTAAAAAAAAAGGTGAGTAAACTCAACACTATGCTCTAAAACATGTGAGTAATAAAAATAAAATAAATAATAAAAAGGCGATCAAGGAGGCTAAAAAGATAAAGATACCATGTAAAGTAAGAAGACCTGTAGTCAAATCCCAAGCACACATGAAGGCCAGGCATGGCCAGCTGCCTGTAATCCCAGCACTGAAGGAGCAAAATGTAGTCTATACTACCTGCCCAGGATAACAGAAACACTCAAGTAAGAGATCCTGTATCAAAAAAAAGTGGAAAGTGATAGAGGAAGACACCCAACATTCTCTGGCCTCTTCATGTTCTCTCTCTCTCTCTCTCTCTCTCTCCCTTTCCCCCTTCACCCCTTCACACACACACACACACACACACACACACACACACACACACACACACGACTGACTTACTGAAATTCACTCAATTATTGCCATAGTCATATCTTATATGTGATGAAGGAGATTTAAGAGCCAGGAGAAATTCAAGACTTGAAACTTTATTTAGGTTATTTTAAAATGGGAGACTGAGAGAAAAAGGAGGTATGCTCTTCCCCTGTCATAGTGTCTTCTTCATTCCACTTTCAACCTTTTCACTACTTGCAAAAGGTTTAAAATATTCATTGACCTGCCAAAGCCATCTAAACATTACTGGACACACAGTCATATC